ATGAAAAACAGCTTCTCATTAAAATACAATCACCGTTCGGAGTCGGCCTAAAACTTTAGGTCCCTCCCCTTTGTGTGACAACATCAAGGCGCACGCCACAAATCGGAGGAGAAGCTCGGCCAAACACTAACATATTTGTAAGCGCCAATCTATTATTATTATTACTTAGGCCGAGACATGAAAACTTTAGTAGGCCATACAATAAAAACACGAGCTACTGCGGGTAAATGTCAATTGTCGTACAATATTATTTTTCATATGGCTGTATATTTGAAATTATATATGTAACCGCTTACCTGGGTAGGCGGCCCTTTTACAGGTGGGAGGTAGGAAAGGTACGTAAAAAACTTTACTCACCTTTGCTAACATCGGAGTTCTGGTGTTTTATGTAAATGTTATAGAATATTGCTAAAACCCAATATTGAATATGGCCAGAAATTTTTAAATTGCGATAATTTTCGCCAGAGTCGTAAAAGTTTGCATAATTAATAGTTATTGTTCTACTTTTAAGGGCCATTTGTTCAGTATTTAGTTACCACTACCTCCCAGTTAAACATCATTATTGACATTTTCAGCATCATGCATATAACATGTGGTAGATAAATCAGCAATCGTTTTTAACCGGAGCATTTACCTCCGGTTCGTGTTAATCGGACATTGAATAAACGGCCCTAAATTTGACCAAACGAATGGATATGGACCATTATTTTATGCAAAAATCTTTTGAACTTCTGGTGCCAACAAAAAGTGTCTGGCAATCTGTGATCGGACTTAAAAAATTTTATGTGGTAGAATCTGGAAAAAAATGTGGTAGATCTCAGGTTTTGGATCAAAATTTGTACAAAAATTAAAAAAAATCTGCAAGGTTTCACTTAAATTGCAAACATTTTAATTAGAATCTAAAAAAAATCTATTTTAGTATAATAAAGTGCAAGATTCAAGTTGCTTGAAATTGCGTTGAGTTTTGGCAATTTTTTTTGCTTGACAGTGTAAAGCAGTTCTTTCCAGATTTTTTCGCACATATTTTGAAAGATTTCTGCAACCTTGCGGAGTGCTGCCAGCTTTTCTTTTTTATCACATCACGATGTAGCGAACAAATGTGGCAGAATCAGAAACCGCTACTTGGGATTGCCGATTTTGGCAATTCTCAAGTAAAAGTAAACAACGCCTCAGAAACCTTAGATGTACTTCAATTTGCTAATGCGTTCACAAAAATCGCCGTTTTTTTTAACATTTTCGCTATTAATTCTTTTTTATAAATCATAAGTTCTGCAATTTAACACAATAAAACCACGTTTCCTGTCGAAAAATTTAATATTGACAAAATTTACTATTTTACGGTTTATTTTATCCTCCCATTCTGCCTGTTGTTAGTGTTTAGTGTTGGACAATTTTTGCTCTTAAAATAAAGAAAATTATGTCGAGCAAGAATAAAACTACTCAAAAACGCGAACATGTGGTAGATTTCAGACCTTGTGTGGTAGATGTGGTAGATGCTCAAAAAAGTGGCAGATCTACCACAATGTGGTAGAAGTCCGATCACTGCTGGCATTATTGAATCAATCCCGGTAACAATATTCTGCAAAACATATATAAAAATCTGCACTTCGAACTTAGTGAATGTAAATAACGGTTCTAACGGCCTTTCCTGCCCCACAAAAAATGGGTAATCGCTGTTGGTGGTAATGTGTTTTAGAACGCATTGCCTTATAATGTCTTCTAATTTGTTCGCTTCTTTTAGGCATAGTCGGTAATGCATAGCAGAATGCTCTACAATATTTTATTAATTTCGCTGCTTTGATTCATTACGGGGAATGCAGAGTAGAATGTTTCACCATAGTCAGCTGAAAAATAGAATGAATAGCCAAAAATTCTTTTTTGCCGTTACTTTCTGTGGAAAATTCCATCGCATAAAAATCATATTTTGCTTTGTTAAATTTACAGCGAAGTTGAAATCAGTCAATCAAGTGAAGTACATGAGTGAGGAAGTACAATTTTAAGTTTAATTACATATCGATTTTTAAGTAAGATTTAAATACCCAAAGACATACATATGTATATATGTATGTATAAAAACTAATTTATAAAAATTTTAATCTTTTAATCTGTATTTTCGGTTTTCAATTTAATATATGTACATAAGTATGTACCTATCTAGGCTTTCTACAGTAATTTCTCTGTAAGGCATTCTTTGTTCGTTTCTCTGGATTCTGTTTATCTCTTCATTCGAAGGTATTGCTGCGGGTAAGGGCTTACCGCCAATGACATGGCCTGGTTAAAATAATGCCTCCTTGAAGCGAAAGGGGGTAAGCCATTCCCATCGCCTAATTCGATTCCATTTTAACTTCTGGATGGGTGCCCGCCACCAGTAAAATAGCAGCCTATCCAAACAAGCAGATACATATAAATTTTTAAATACATATATACTAAAAAAAAATCGCTCTTGGAACTCACCCTACTTAATTAGTAAAAATGAACACATTTTTTTTGAACGACTATATTATTATTTTTATCTAATTCTCTATCCAGAATTGCAGCGGACGACGGTTAACCGCTGTCAAAATTAAAACCTACAAAGTCATATGGAATGGCACATAATTACAGCGACTGCGCTTCTACGTTTTTCGGTTGATTTAAATTTACTTCTGTTACCCCCCGTCCAGCGGGGGTGGCACAATGTTAGTTGAGTTTTGGTTAGGATAATTTTTATTGTTTTCACAAGTGTGCCAATGTTTGCATCGATTTTTATTTCCAGAAACAATAAGCACGTAACGAAAAAGGTTTCAATTGTAGTCGTTAATTCCAAATTAAAATGACAGCTGACGGAAGCCGTCATCCGCCGCAATTGTATTTACGCGGACGGATTTCACTACCGCGATTGAACAGCTATTCACTTACCGCCGAGCGCTTTACCGTCGTCCGCTGTAATTCTGGATAGAGTATAATGGTCTGATTACGGCAACTTAACGTAAATTACAGGCTTTCACTTAAAAATTCTCTTAAATGAATGACGCTTATAATTGAACAGCCGAATTTGAACGTAACTAAATGCCACTTCGAAATCAGTTTCATTTTGATTTTCTAAGTTCTAAGTTCCGTTAAGTTAACTTAGGTTGATTGTCATAATCAGGTTTTAACTCCTTAAAAAGAAACAAAAAATATCAAGTAATATTTCGTTTGTTTTGACGTTGTTCTTTATGAATTAATCTGGCTTTTACACTACATTTTTCAAAAGACATTTTTTTGATAAGTCATAAAGAAAGTAGGAAGAACATAGTATGAAGTTCCTAAGTTATTTCGCATCTTAAAAATATATTAAACGGTTTTAACTGATTCTTCTCGTTTCCCACTACGTGATGCACAGTGTGTCGCTTATATGGAGCCAGGCGCAAATAATAGTTAACGTGCACGGACTTCGCTGCCACTCCGTCGCTTGGGTAAAAGATTGTCATATGTTGATTTCGGTAGGTTGTGTGAAATCGTGATTGAAGTTTGGAATACAATTTCTCAAAAACGCGAATATAGATTTTCTTATTTAATTTTTAACGTTTATTGTTAATTAGTTTTGAGTTTATGAAGGATTTTCTTTAGTAAAATTTTGTCGAAAGCGCCATTTGTCTACAATTTGGCAGTCACTTTGTATGAAATACGATAAAATGTGATAAAAATTTCTACTAAATTTACGTCACTTTTTACTCAATATCTCGGAAATAAAAGGGATGTACAAAAATGGAGAACACCATTTCTAAGATATTGATTAGTTTAATATGACTGCATCACTAACAAAATTTTTACTAAATTATCGAAAAAATTCGAGTCGATATATCGGAAACTAAAGGAGATATCTAAAAACTGATAGCACCAATCGAAAAACCTTATTTCAAAATACATAACTGCATCTAGAACTAAAAATCGTCAAAATGGCGCTTACGACAATCTTTTGCCCAGGCGACGACTTGACATGTGCTCTAATCTTTCTTTAGAATAGGCAATTACGAAATATGGTAAAGATTAGATAATTGCCACGCCTTCCAATCTTGTGGACGGAAACATTAAATTTGATCCGATTTCCATAAATTTTTTATTTTTTTTTGAAAAACCGAAATATAAAATATGGGGAAGGTTGGATCACCATAACGTCTACAACTCGCAAAATATCTGAGCCCAGTTATCAGGGGGACGAATTTTTGGCTAATTTTTGTTTTTTTTCTTTTCGGTCCACAGTTTGGTTTTTAAAATTCACTGTGTTCCACTTGTCAAGTTTTTTCATTTGATACCCTATTTGTGGTAACCACCATCTTTCATTTGATACCCAAATTGAGAGAGTTGTGAAGAAATATGTAAACCGCCATTTTGTAGCGGAGGCCATCTTAGATATACAAGGTTTCTGAATATATTTAATTATAGATAATATATAATTTATATCTACTATAGACCCCTAAATGTAATTTTACACGAGATTTTTTCAAATGTTCAAGATCAATTTGAGACCGAATTAGGAAAACTTCAATACACTGTGAAAAATATTGTGAAGTTTATGGACAAAAGGCAGATGGTCTGATATTCTGAAGTTCTTCCTCTTTGATAATTGCCATACTGCATTCGTGCCTTTTTTATTTGCCTCATTTTGTTGCACAGTTTATTATTAGATACACATTTGATGATTCAATCAATTTTGACTCAAATGTTTTTTTTATTATTCATTTTCTTACGCTACCGAGCCTTTAAGCTGAGTTTCCATATTTTCTACATTTGTTTGGAAGTTCAGAGATAAGGTAGAATCGGTTAGATGAGTGTGGCACAACTTTTTTTTCAAATATCGAAAATCAAAAGTTTAATATACATGCCCTGTATCATTTTTTAACCAATTCATTCAAATTTCATTATGGAACACTTATGTATGTACGTATGTATGTACGAATATATGCAAATCATTAACTAAGGAAATGTGTCACCTAATTAAAATGCTACTTCATCACTATTCTAGGTAGTATACATACCGAATATTTTCCTGGCACATAAATTGGCTGACTATGACTATTTGGTAGGCCACCTTGGCTCGAATGGCCTCGATGACCGTGATGCCGGTGGTGTGTGCTGACGCTGGGGCCACCTATGCCACTCACGCCACTGCCACTACCGCTACTCCCACTGCCACCGGCCGGATTCATGGGACTTCGTTCCGCCCACGCCGCTTGCCGAGCGTTTTCTAAAGCACTTAAAATATCCCCAAAGGGAGCCATTAACAATTCACAATACACTGATGCAAGACCCTCTAAATGACCACGCTGACCGTCCTGAAAAATACAACACAATACAAAGACAACAATAAACAAACTAGTCAATTTTTGCACAAACATTATATGTATTATTTTTTAAATATTTTTTTTCATTTTTGAATTCTAAATGTGTTCGTTCTAATGTTATTGTTGTAATTGATGTTCGAATTTCACTGGGATGTATACTAAATGAATGATTATTATGAGGTGAGAACACTATTTTATAAGAAATTACGAATGTGAGAAATAGTTTTTAGCGGTAAAAGGTTATGAGGAGTTAAAGATGGAAAGATGGTGAATTTACTAACTCTACATTTGTGGTTATGGTAATTATAATGAAAGCTATTTTCGTTTGTGCAATGGAATGCTAACTCATCATACGAAGTTTAGGAAGCGGTTTTTGTGGTCAAATTATTGTTTTTATAGGAGTGGGTTACTGATATGGTTAATCTTGAAATGAGTCTTAATATGAAAGTTAGATAGGAGGAGGTTAGTTTGTGAATTGTAGAGGATGAGAAACGTTTAGAGCACATATTTTTATAAAAATAAATGTAAGAGATTGGTAACGAGAAACTGTGCAATGTATTATAAGATATTTTATAATTATAGTTACAATGACGATGATGGGTGAAGTTCGATAATAATTGATGGATAGACTACAAATTGCTAAGGATGAAAAAAAAAACAATATTAAAGAGGACTTTAGTGGCAGTGGGATACAGTAGATAATGCATTCAATACAAATTTAAAATTTTTAATATGTCTGTATCCAAATACAAAGTATATTATACATATATACACATATATGTGGATGTGGACTACATGTATATTTAGTTAGTGGTTACGAGTACATACACCTTTCCTTAAACGCTAGTAACATTTTGTACATGATAAAGTTTAAAAGGGAAGTTCTTAATTTTTTGTTGATATAAGTCTAAGGGTCATATTATTATTCACACTATTTAACATTTGATCTTATCACCTTCTTTGTACGCGTAAATACATTTTATATATGTTAATATAGCTTAAAGTAAAAGTGGCTAGCTGATCAAGTTAAGTAACATTTTGACCAGTTTTGTGTTTGCTTTTTTAATGTCTATAATATTTTTTTAAAAGTTTAGCACATCGCGTAAATAGCACCATATAAATCCACATCTCAAACTTCCCACACAAATTATAAAAATTCTATGAACTTTACCCATTGCACCCAACAGTTTTAAACTCTTTCTAAAAATTTTTTATAGCCGATTAAATTTTAGTAGGAAAAAGTGCACGTTTCAAGACGTACTTTAACTTTTTTTAGTATGTTTTTTTTTTTTTGTGATGATGATGTAGTGAATTTTCTTCCAAATAAAGTATGCTTGACAATTTTTTTATTTGGAAGAAAATCCTAGCACTGTCCATTGCTGTAGGAGATGGAGAATGCCGCAGACTATGGAACTATGAGCTGTAAGAGCTTTTAAATTTTGTCGCGTTAAATTATATTTATTTTACAAAATATTTCCATCACATTATTTTTGCTGTATTTTTAATCGGTTGTTTGAGAGCTAGACATTATACTAAATTGATTTTCACTGAGAACATTTTATGTATATTTAGCTAATTATATGGAAGATTTATTTCGCAAAAGTGAGTATATGAACAATCAGCGGTATGAGAGATACCGATATTGATGATTTTCTCAGAAGACTTTTTACGATTAATCAGCAAATAGCTCTTAAAATTGCATGGTTTTAGCTATCTAAAAGAATGATTTTCCAAGAAAAAACCTCATATCTGAACAAAAGTAGCATGAGAGATAATTTGTAGTAACTCGATCTGGTTATTTTCAGTATGAAAATATTGTTGACGATAAGGGAAAATTGGGCGAAATTTCATGTTCCTAGCTCCAAAAATGAAAGATTTATAACAAAAAAGCGATATGTTATGTATGTGTAAACAGACACACGCTTACCAAATTACATTCGGATATCTTTAAAACTGAGGGACTTCCCGTAATTTTGAGTGGAAGTAGGCATTTTTAAGCGAGTTTGGTAACTTCACTTGACTGCTTATAATTTTGTTACAAGCTGGTCGGATATTCTTACTTCTGTCTACTAACATATTACTCATCATAATGGCTTAAGATGTGGACACATCGTTATGATCAAAGCAAAACACCTAATTTGACCAATTTGAAATTTTACACCAGTAGAAAAATAATGTTTTCAATTTACTTAGGAAACTCTTCCAAAGCTGCTCTAAAGACCCCCATTAAATTAGAATTATTTAAAATTTGGCTCTGAGTTTTGACAAGGAGGTGCATATGCGAGCAAATTAAGAGAATCTTAATAAAGAAAACATTTCCAAGAGGCTGCATAGATGATAGGTAATCACAAAAAAAAAAACAATTTTTTTATTAATTTTCGTGGCTTGATATGATAAGAAAAAATAATGGCAGTAAGTAGTGTTTTTTTCGCTAATGGCAACCAACTGTATAGGAATCTATGTATATATTAATACTCTAACAAGAACACTATTAGAAAGGCACTCTTCTGTAGATGAGGAGAGTTTTTATGATTTAAAAATTGGTTGGTAGCTGTTGTTGCAACATGTTCAATTTGAGTTGGTTTTGCATTTTATTTTACTTCGTATTTGAAATGCAACATTGTAATAAAGATAAATGTGAAGATGATAAAATAAATTACAATGATTAAGACAAAAAAGGAAAACCAACAAAACCAACCACCACATGATCAAGTGTTAATAGCAGAGTAATGGATTTACTGAAATTTGTCGATTTATCTAACCAAATTTTTGGAAAATATATTGAAATTTCAAGGTTATATAACTTTATCGAGTTATCCCTACTTATCTCGTTTTATCACGTTACCAGAGTAAATCGAGTTATCAAGATTTGTCGACAGCTTTCAAAATATATATAGAGCTTTGATAATTAGCCGACTTATCGAGATTTATAGAGGTATCCAATGTTTATCGAATTATCGATTTATATATATACATTTTTGAGTAGTCGAGATTTACCGAGCCCTCGAAATTAATCGAGTTATCGAATTTTGTTGAGTGGTCGGATCTTAGTGTTTAGAAAATTCATTTAGTTATTGAAATGTACCACATTATCGAAATTTATCGACAAACTGGAGTGTATGTGGCCAATTCCAAGTCCTGCCAATGTGCTCCAAAGTCCTTGAAAGATATAAAAAATTGTAGCCACGTTTTAATTCCAAGCCAGGAGTTTTCCCGGTAAGTAATTTTGCAACCTGTAAGTTTGACGATGTGCTGAGTTAGAAAACCTTGCTAACTAAAACTAAAAAACTAAGTAAACAAGAAAACCTGTATGAATACCAAAATTAAAGTGAAACAATTTTTTTTTGCCAATATGTTATGTTACTTTTATATAATGTATACATATGTGTAAACCTACAAATAAATATGTACATACATATATGACCCTAAGTTTACATATGTACATACATACGTACATATGAATGCACGTATATAAAAGTAAAGCTATCGTGCTGCTATAATGAATCAGCAAATTTAGTGGCTAATAAAAATGTTTCTTGCGAAAAATTACAATAGAATCCCCACTGGCATATAAAACCATGCAATCAGCGTAAAAGAATGGTGTTTGCCAGCCAATTAATTTTTGGGAATAGACACAGTAGCGAAATGTGTGTATGTACAATGTACTGTACATTGTATATACATTTACACAAATATTAATTGGTAGGTATTTTGTTGCCGAAACAAACTTCACTTGGGTAAACTGCAGCTGTTGAAAGAGTGACGGAGGAATTTAAACTTACTCATTATGAAATAAATAAATAAAACGAGTATTATTATGGTTACCTATCTAATATGGTTCTTAATCTAATACTCTTTCAATTTATTCATTTATTTAAGTTTTAGCTAATTTAGGTTTATTTTCAGTTTGATTTATTGTTGCCTCTTTTATTTGCAATAACTCCATAATGAATAAAAAATTTGTCGTCTTTCAATTTGCCAGAAAATATTGTTATTTAATTAAAAACTTTTGGCATCTAGCCCATCGCTGCTAACATCGCCGCTAATATCGCGATTGTCTTTCATCGGGTCGAGACTAAAATGGAAGAAGTACTCTTTTGTAGATGAAGAAATTCTCTACAAACATAGCTGCCGCCGGAAGTTGTAAGCTATGATTAATCACATTCGAGGAACCTATTACAATTGTTATTGCTTTCCTATTAAGATTTATCAAACGCATGGATACTCCTACATGGCGTATGAGTAATACTACTACACACATTGTAGATATATAACGATAGTGAAACATTGACAACTCATAGCTGACATCGTGGTTAAGCATTGTGAATTTTTGACCATCGATATATTAGTTTTTAGTTAAACTTTATTAATTGAATTTCAATATGTAATTACATTAAAAAAATTAAGAAAATAATTAAAAAAAAACAACATTAAACAAAATGTTTCTGCTGTGCGAGGAATATTCTAATTCCACAAACCACTGTGCACATAAGAAGAAACACTGCCGTCTGTCAGGATACAATTTGGGTCGCATCCTCTGACCGTTTACATAATGCCAGTACGCCTTTTAATGTGGCGTACATACATATGAATTTTTATAACCCTTAAATACACAAAATAAAGTTTCAAATTTGGTACATGATTTTCAAATGCAATTATACACTTACAATTGGATGGTTTTTAATATTTAACTGCACTGTACGTCTGTTACCGCTTCATAATATTTTTTTAAGCAAAAATTCAAATATAAACTTCTGCTGATAAAATTATTCAAATATCGAGACATCATGGCGGCCGCTGTGGTGTAGTGGTTAGAAGCACGCTCTTCTACTCCGCAGGACCTAGGTTCAAGACCTGGTCAAAGCAGCGTCGCAAAAAATATTTAGAAACATTTTTTTTTTTACAGCGGTTGCCTCTCGGCAGGCAATGGCAAACCTCCGAGTGTGTTTCTGCCATGAAAAGCAGCTTCTCATAAAAATACAATCGCCGTT